ACTGGACTGGACTGAACTGGACTGAACTGCAGGTTTGAAAAGGCCTTTTCATGAAGATTCATCTGTTCTGTTAATAAAACAGAGCTGCTGCTGCTGCTGCTGCTGCTGCTGCTATGAGGTGCAATTATAGAGTGTGTGTGTGTGTGTGTGTGTGTGTGTGTGTGTGTACCTCCCCCACTGCTTACTTTACACCTTTGTCTTTAATGGTTTTTAATTATTCACCTGGGCTGTTTTTTATGCCATCAGCTGTGTCAAAGCTGTGTTTTATGTGTTTGTCTATCATTAGCGCCCCCTGCTGCTGAGCTGCATCTGAAAACAGTTGAGTCCAAATCTGATATTCTTTAGAATGACATGTTTTTATAACTTAATACTGAGGTGAAACAAGAAAAACAAACACTTGGGAATACTGGTCCAAACAACTAATACAGTTCCTGAGAATACTGGTCCAAACAACTGCGGCAGTACCTGAGAATACTGGTCTAAACAACTACTGCAGTACCTGAGAATACTGGTCTAAACAACTACTGCAGTACCTGCGAATACTGGTCCAAACAACTAATACAGTTCCTGAGAATACTGGTCCAAACAACTAATACAGTTCCTGAGAATACTGGTCCAAACAACTGCGGCAGTACCTGAGAATACTGGTCTAAACAACTACTGCAGTACCTGAGAATACTGGTCTAAACAACTACTGCAGTACCTGAGAATACTGGTCTAAACAACTACTGCAGTACCTGCGAATACTGGTCCAAACAACTAATACAGTTCCTGAGAATACTGGTCCAAACAACTGCGGCAGTACCTGAGAATACTGGTCCAAACAACTGCGGCAGTACCTGAGAATACTGGTCTAAACAACTACTGCAGTACCTGAGAATACTGGTCCAAACAACTAATACAGTTCCTGAGAATACTGGTCCAAACAACTAATACAGTTCCTGAGAATACTGGTCCAAACAACTAATACAGTTCCTGAGAATACTGGTCCAAACAACTAATACAGTTCCTGAGAATACTGGTCCAAACAACTGCGGCAGTACCTGAGAATACTGGTCTAAACAACTACTGCAGTACCTGCGAATACTGGTCCAAACAACTAATACAGTTCCTGAGAATACTGGTCCAAACAACTGCGGCAGTACCTGAGAATACTGGTCCAAACAACTGCGGCAGTACCTGAGAATACTGGTCTAAACAACTACTGCAGTACCTGCGAATACTGGTCCAAACAACTAATACAGTTCCTGAGAATACTGGTCCAAACAACTAATACAGTTCCTGAGAATACTGGTCCAAACAACTGCGGCAGTACCTGAGAATACTGGTCCAAACAACTGCGGCAGTACCTGAGAATACTGGTCCAAACAACTAATACAGTTCCTGAGAATACTGGTCCAAACAACTGCGGCAGTACCTGAGAATACTGGTCCAAACAACTGCGGCAGTACCTGAGAATACTGGTCTAAACAACTACTGCAGTACCTGAGAATACTGGTCTAAACAACTACTGCAGTACCTGAGAATACTGTCAAAATTTGAAGTTAAAATACTTCAAAATCAGTGTTTTTAACTCACAGTCACAAAGAGGCCTATTCACCTGTCAATGGTCCTGGTTCTGGTTCTGGTCCTGGTTCTGGTCCTGGTTCTGGTCCTGGTTCTGGTCCTGGTTCTTCCTCATTTCGCTGAGAGAATAATGACAGAGAACGACAGTGTGATCACAGGGAACAGTGTCTTTATCACCACCACAGACCACGGTCTGTAATTTCCCTGTGGTTAAAGTAGTTTGAAAGAAGAGGCTGCAGCCAGATTATATACAGGAACCAGAACAACCAAACTCTGCACTGACAAACACTGACCACACGGGGCAGCAAAAGGCCCTGAATGCCAGGTGAGTCAGGGAGCGTTTCTCACCTCCCCTCGTCTTCCTCAGCCGTATCTACGCTGCTGCAACAACAAGAAGTAAACGTAGAAACAAGACAGAGGTGGAAGAACGACATTTGATAACTGAGTGACCACACACACACACACACACACACACACATACTTCTGTTCTGACTTTGGTCTGAACCAAAACCCCAGGTTTTGTCTGATTTTCATTTTGATCGTTACTCCGTTGTACATCATTGACGTCGTGTATTTTTTTTCCACTACGAACACGAACACAGTGAGAACTCAACACACACATCTGTGAAACTAATCTGTCGTCTGAAGAACACAGTCATTAAAAATCCTTATCTCAAATATAATCAGATGTGATGAGCAGACACAGAAAAAAAAACACTGAATTATTTTTACTCTTTTTTTCCAGGAAGGTTTTTTTTTTTTTTTTCAAAATATTTTCCTCAACAGTGTTTTTTGCCAAAAGCAAGAAAGGAGTAAAGAGACAAATTTAATCCAGACGGACGTTTACAGGTTAGACTGAAGACTAATCAGTAAATTTGACCTGACTGAGAAGCAGAGGAGGAAGAGGAGGAGGAAGAGGGAGAGGAAGAGGAGGAGGAGGAAGAGGAGGAGGACCTGGGGAAGGAGGGGGAGAAACGAGTCTTTGCAAAAACAACCGTTTCTACCCCTGTTTTCAAGTCGGTTTAATTTTTCATATAAACATAATTTTGAAACATTTCATCTGAAACTGGTGAATTAAACACGAACCACAGGGATTTAAACCGACAACCTGGCGGTTAAACCACCGTCTGGTTCCAGGAGAAGGTTTTTATTTCAGTCTACTTACACAGAATCCTCCACCGACACTCGTGTTCGCCACAATCATCATCGTCGTCATCTTCATCATCAGCTTATTCGCTCCTGCTCCCTAAAACGTCTGCTTCTGTTAGAGCTCCTCCTATTGGTTACTGGCTGTAAGTACTCTGTCTGCTTTTTTATCAGGTGTAGCTTTATCACCTGAAGACAAAGATTAAGGTAAAAATAAAATAAAATATATATTTTATATTCCAACGTTCTTAGTTTAATCGTGGTTCTGTTGTTTTTAACTTTTAACTCTTTGTAACTTTGAAATGTTCTGGTTTAAACTAAACATTAAGACACTAAAAACCGTTTGAATGTAAAAGAAAAAAGAAAACACGTTCAAGACTAAACTGATACAAGTAAAGCCTTTAACTCGTTGTTTAGAAATAATAATTATCAGAGGTCGATCTCGTTCGTTAACGCAAAATGTAGGTTTCAAAAATTGAAAAACATGTTTCCGCCCGGTTTCGAACCGGGGACCTTTCGCGTGTTAGGCGAACGTGATAACCACTACACTACGGAAACTGGTCCAATGATGGAGATTATTAATGTATGTGGTCTATCCATCGGCTGTGATGTAACTGTTCTGTTAGTATTAAGAGAAAAAAGAGTAACAGACACAACAGACAAACGGTTCTAATTCATATCAAACGTCTCACCTTTAAAGCTAATGCTGTGACGCAGTAACCGGAGAAAGTCAGGCCGCGACCCACTGTTTCGACACATTTATAAACATCAATAAATTCTGCACTTGTGTTAAAAATACAAAAGTCCGTGTTACATTACTACTGAATAGTGAACTTTCGGAGAGCCTTTAGTGTGACACATCTACCGGAACCGGAAGTGGATGTTAAAATAATAGGGCGACCTTGGTGACGATAAACCAGTTTACGTTTTTGGTTGTTTCTGTTTACACTACATTTTCAAGTAAAACTTTTTTATACTTTTAATATTTTAATACTCCTACGTTTTAAAGGGTACGTGGCAGTTTGAGTAACTTAAAAAATAATAGTTTAATAATATATTGATAGTTTAATATAATATCAATAAAACTCGAGTTGACTGGTCGAAATAAACGATTTTTTTTATTAAACGATTAAACGGTTGAGCAACCTGAGTGATGCTAATACTTACATTAGTAAAGTTTGGGGATGTGTATGTATCGGTTTCCGTAGTGTAGTGGTTATCACGTTCGCCTCACACGCGAAAGGTCCCCGGTTCGAAACCGGGCGGAAACAATTTTTGATGATTCTGCCAAAAACAAGTAAAATTATATTAATCTGTTTTATAGATGTTTTATAAATGGCTAATATAAGGTCATATATATGAATATGTTCATAATGAAGTATTTTAGACTTTTGTCTCCACCACTGGACAAACACTGTCATTGTAAACATTCAACCCAGTGGTTTATAAGAATCTGTCGTCAAACCACTGATTCATTTACATATTTGGTTTATTAACCACACAGACACACAGAATCAACAGCACATATAACACAACACAAATAAAAATACATCAATAATGGCTCAGTGTCATCAGCACACGAAATAAAAAGCACCCCTGTGGTCACAGGTGGAACAGCAGCGCGTGGGTGACCCTGGGTTTGATCGACGTGAAGCTACCTGACCGTGACCTGCAGCTGAGAAGACAGCAACGTCTCCAGGCGTTTGTGGAAGAGCAGAGCCTGTGTGTGTGACAGGGCGTGTGTGTGTGTGTGGTAGACCAGCCTGTAGCAGTAGCTGGTCTGACTCAGGTCGGGGTGTGAGAAGGTGTCCAGCAGTTTCACCTGCTCCACCGTGCCGCGACCGGCCTCTCGCACCAGAGCGTGGAACTTCTCTTCCTCCCACGACGGCCCCGTCCAGAAGCAGATGTCAAAGCGAAAGTGTTCAGGGAACAAGGAGAACGGGCGGTAGGAGGTCCCGGGGGCGGAGTCCGGTCCAAACTGTCGGAGGAAGCGCTGGTCACGTGACCACAGCAGCCGCCAATCGGGGAGAGAAAAGAGGAGCACGGCCAGAAGATCCAGGTTCAGGGAGACGGTGACGGCGCTGTCACTGGAGCGTTCACCTGTACGGCTCTGGGAGACTTTGCCGACCGCGCCCACAGGTTGGGCCACCAGCTGCACGCCCCCCTCCTCTGGAACCAAGGAGACCCCATAAGGAGCGAGTAGAGGCTCCAGTGTTTCTCCCAGCTGCCTGACGGGTTCACACTCCGCGGAGAGAACACCTGTGAGGAAGAGCTGGTGGAACGCCGGCGCGGCCCAGGGGCTGATGGGAACTCTCCTGAACACCACGTCACTGAGGCCGTACAAGGGGGGAGTAACGCCGTTACAGACGGCCCGCTGCTCCTCCTCACCCCCCCTCCCTGACTCTCTGGGTTCATTCTGTGTTAAACTCTCTTTTTTATTCAGAATCTCTTCCACTTGGGGGCGCAGCGACGGACGCAGCAAATAAAAACGTCCTTCTCCTTCAGGGTCTTCGTCCCTGGAGCTCACAGAACTCTTGTCCACTGCCTGTGTGAAGGACACAGTGTCTCCGCTGACGTCTTTCTGCAGTGGGTGAATCCAGTAGCAGTCGCTGCTGTCCACACCTTCACGGCACCGTAGGAGCTGCCGGGCCGTGAGGAGGACAGGGACGTTCTCCGTCATCATGGAGACGGACCAGTTCTGCTCCAGTCCTTGGAGAAGGTAGTTCTGCACCAACTTTACAGGATGAACAGAACCTGAGGAGAGGAACTCCCTGAGGGACAGAGAGAAGACAAGAAGAAGAAAAAACC